ACGGCCGCGCCCGTAGGTGAGGCGGGGCCCGAGGTGTGACCGAGTCCAGCCCCGCTCACCTGGCGGTACCTGCGGGGAGGCTCTGCGGGCGCCGGCGAGGGGCGGGGGCGCTCGTCGGGGCAGGAACTCATTTAGATAATTTTTAAAGCCCTCACTGCAAGGGGAGGGGGTCCTCCCATCCCACCCCCATGGTTCAGGGATGAGGAAAGGTGTCCGCTTGCGGAGACAGCTGGGGGGGGGTACAAGAGATGGAAAGGAGGGCAAAAGTGAGGCGCAGCGACCCCCGCGCCGGCTGCCTCGGGGTCTTCCAGCCCGTTATGGGGAGGGGGATGCCAGGCTGCGGTCCGTCCGCACCGCGCACCCAAGCCAATCCGAAGTGGGAGGAGAGGCCAGCCCAGGGGCCCCTCTGGCCAGCCCCGGGGTGGGATTGTAGGGTGAGAGATCCGCATTGCAGGTGCACAAGGAGCGCCCGAGGGCCTGGCCCTGCTTTGTCTGGGATGCTGTAGGGAGGAGGCCGTCTGAATCCACATCGCCTTTTTAAATACGTTTTACCACCCCGTGGATATTAGAGACCCTCCCAGATAAGTTGCATTGTCTTCTGTCCTGATAACCTTTTACGTAAGTATTCTACCTTTACAGCCCTTCTCCGAAGCTTTGACGTGGGCTTTAGTTTGCCCTAAATAACGATTCAGGAAGCTGAGCCTAATGCAAATATGCAGCAGAGCTCTAGGCTCGGCTACAGAGCCGCCGTCTGCTAACGGCGAGTTACTCTAGTTGAGCTAACTTGCGTTTTCATGCTGACCTGTATTTTAATTTCAAGCTTTGATGTTAAGTAGTATGATCTATTCCAATAATGAAAATGAGGTGGCCTAGGAGGAAGTATGATCGTGGTCTAGTAATTTAGGTTGTAGTCATCGGTCTTGTTACAAGCTGCCAGGCAGAATACTTTAATACATTACGCATTTCCAGAAACCTACCTGTAAGAGTGTTAATGCTAGAATTGCCATTTTAAGACTTTTAAGTTAGAAAATTACTAAAAGAGCATTGTTATTGTTTTATTAAATGATTCTTTTATTTGTTTTGTACAGCCAAGAATTCCCCTGCATTTTCTTGCCATTGAATTGTAAGGGGAAAATGCTAACATTTAAAGTGACTTTTACCTCCAAAGATGTTTTTGAATGTATGTATTTTTTTGGCTAAATATTCATCATATGTGAAATATTTTTGGAAGAAGGTTTTAAGGCTCATAATATATGTATATATGTATGTCTTTATATATACATATACACTACTGGAAAACCTTAAAATAGTTTTTATTATTCCTCTGCATCATGTTATAATTACTCAGTAAATTTAGTTTAGCTATATTTAAAATCTTAAATACTGACAATAATTTGTGAGTATCAGATTTTTACTGTGTAGCACGTGTAAATATATCAGTCTAACAAACTGGTTCCTTGGAAATTAGATATTTTTATTGTTAGTTCTTTTTTTAAAAAAAAGAATCGGGGGGAGGGCATAGCTCAACTGGGAGAGCGCATGCTTAGCATGCTTGAGGTCCTGGGTTCGATTCCTAGTACCTCCATTAGAAGAATAAATAAACCTAATTACCTTCCCCCTTGAAAAAAGTAAATAAAATAAAAATAAATAAATATATTTTAAAAAAAGAATCATAAAAATATTAATCCTTTCACTTATGACAGGGAATCATTCATGTGGGTCCTTAACTCTTTCATCTGTCGTTCGTTGGATAAAATCATTTTAACGTCATTACTTAATTGGCAGAGTGCATTTGCAGCAATACTGATGTTAATAACAGCGTTGAGATTCTTAAGGAATACTTATTTTTAGTTTATATACATTTCCTTATATTTCTGTAAGGAAAGACATCTGCCTTCTTTTAGCTCGAACAAGGTCAACCATAAAAAGTTCTTAAGACATAGTGGGCACACTCTGTTTATTAACTAAGGCTAATTATATCTACTGAATTGGGTATCCGTAGAGGGCAGAGACTGGGCGCCTTTATATGCTTCACATGCCATGGATGCAATAACTGTCTGAGTCAGATTGACATTCCGGACCAGTTGGGTAGGTGCTAGCGTAATGACACCAATTTTCACATCTCCAGCTTTGATGTTTAAGTCTGCAGGAAGGTTGGGCAGGAAAGTGAATGTGTCCTAATTGTCTTCAAACATTCAAGATCTGTCATGCTGCAAAGGGGTTTTATGTATTTAGAGTATTTTTCGAGCTCCAAAGAGGACAAGCAGTGCTTACAGGTAGACAGATTTCACTTTGACTGCTTATGAGTAGACCCTCCCGTGGAAAAGAAGGGGCTGCTCTTTCCGTGTGGAGTTTCGTGATGAGCTGGTGCCCACTGGGCAGGGGTGGCTACCAGGAGGTACCACAGCGGGAGTGGGAGAGGCCTTCTGAGGGCACCATGGGGCTCTAGTGGCAACTGGATTGGAGGACATTGTGGTTCTTTTTTATTTCTTACCGTGGCTTTGGCAGTTTGTAGGCATAACGACATCTCAGACACCTACTTCGATCCTTGGGAGATGTTTACTGGGGCAGAGGCCAGCCGGGTATCAGAGGTGATTCTAATCCTACTTTGCATTGGTGTGGGGCTGTACAGGTAATAAAGCACTCTGACATTCAATGATTTATTTTAAAAAGACTCTTCTTAATTATATGTGCTTTGTATTTCTTCTTTTGGCTTTTATTTTCTATAATAAACATTTAATTGAGAGGAAAATTACCTTTTTCTATGAAGGCAAGCAGAGGAGTCTTTTTTTTTAAGCTCTTAAAATAGAATGATGTCAGTCATTCTTTTGAGAGTCAGCAGGTTGTGAAGGTGAATAGATTTTTTTTCTTAGCTGAAATTATTTTTTAAAGATACTGATTAAAAGGGCTGATTCTTGTGCTTGCTCTGCATTTCAGTTTCTGTTTATTTCATTACTCAAACATGACTCAAATTTCACAGCAAAAAGTCCAGTCATAGCCACCTACAGTAAGTTGCATTGGACTTTTTTTCAGTATGTCTGCCTTGTTTTTAAATATATGTTGGCAGATAAAACACAGCCAAGAAGAAGCAGAATTACAGTGGACTGAAAAGATTAGGTGAATTGGACCTTTGTGTTTGAAGAAGAAAAAGACGTGTCCTATCTGTACTAAGCCAAACCTGGGAATGGTAATTTGTCAGCAATAGGAATGGCGATCTATCTGTTATAACAAGAATTAGGCTGTTGACTGTCAACCACAATACATGTATTAAGTGGGTCAGTGGGGTTAGGGTTCTGTCTGTGGCCAAGGAGCAGAGCAGAGCTTCCTGTTAACAGCAGAGGACCCAATAAACGCTGTCTGCACAAGAATTTAAGTGGAGCACGTTGGTAATGAGGCCAGTTGAGTTAAACCAGATTCTGACCTCTCCCATTTAGGAATAAGTTAGAGGAAAGAGTTCTGAATTAATATATACATGGACTTAATTTTTAAAAACTTGAAAAAAAACAGTTGCCCTCTTTTGTTCTTTAGCAGATAAGTTTGTCCCATGCTTTTGGGCCTTTTACCCACCAGCTGAATTTGGACGGGATCATTTAAATAAGACAAAGATTTTAAAAGGTGCATCATTTATACTTCATGCATGAAAGGAAAAGGGAAGACAATCAAGTTCTTCTGGTCAACCCAAAAATGAAATAAGAAAACCTAACAAGTATTTATTCCTTCAGGGAAAAAAAAACCACAGATGCTGCTTTAAATATTATGACCAGGACAATAAATTATCAAGTAAGGCGACCAGTTAGAAAGCAGCCTTTCTAGAGGTGAAAGGTTACATTTTATAGCTCCTCACCATACTCTCTGAAGGCATCTCACAGATGTCTTAAAAGACTTCTTTGTTAATCAGGAAATAGGAGGTTATGTTTTTCTGTGAGTTTCCACACTGGGGAGCAGACAGAAATGGATATTTTTGTGATTACCCCGGTTTACCACTTTATCCGAAATTACTGTATGAAACAAGAAGAAGGCTCTACGCCTCTGGAGCCATAAGGGAAGAGGAAATAGGTGTTCTCTTTTCGAGATTCTTCCTGCCAGCCAGATCCTCAGGGCTGAGCAGTAAAATTCCATCGGTTAGCACAAAAGAGCAAGCCAGAGATGCTTAAAGCTTACAATAAAAGAGAGAAAAAAGGACATGTTGAATAAATGGAATTTGAGGCACAGAATACTCTGCTGCTACAGTTTTTCTCTGTTACCTCTTTGACAACACATAAGAGGTTAAATTGAGATCCGAGTAGGATGCATAATCTTTTACTTTTCTGATTTCCTTCCCACCCCATTTCTAAATGTACCTTGGACCCTGGTTGTTTACTACGTAGGTAAGAGGGTTTTTGAGGCATTTCTTATGTGACATTGCTCACACATTGCTACCACATACAAATTCTAATTCCCAGTATTATTACAATGCTGTTTTTCTTAAAAGTTGCACATTCCACCTAGAAATGAGTGGCATCATTCTCTGAAAGGGCCATGTTTGCTGTAACGTCAATGCACAAACACTGGCTCCCCGAGATGCAGTTCCATCACTGTCATAGCTTAATAATCCAGGGATCGCCATACTTTTCTAGTGGTTTCTAAGCTCATTTTTCTAATCATGAATGAGTGTAGGAGGTTAGCTTCCTGCCAGACCCCAAACCCTGAAGGAGGCTTTTTTTATCCCCTCTCTCTCCAACTGTCACACGTCCCAGCCCGGGTGAAGGGCACTGGTGGCTGCGGCATGGGGGAGCAGAGCCAGATTTTAGAAATGCTTGTCTTGCACATTGATGAGCGAGATGAGGAAGGGTTGTTGTTTTGTTTTTTAATTTTATGTTCCCACAGATAAGAACGTAGCAGGGTTGTTGGGTACGGCCTATCCTTTTCAAGGCGGGGTCAGTCTTAGACTGTGACAGTGACTCATCTTTCTCTCTTGGTTGAGTCCGGTGACTGGACCAGAAAATCCTGGCGGGACACAGCAGCCGCTGAGGTGCCTGCTCACCGACCGGCCCTGTCGCGGTGGGTCAGGGGAGGGGGGAACGCAGTCTTTTATGACAGAGAGGATATGTAACCCTCCCCGGCCACTGCATGGTGAGATGGGTTTCAAGTGAGGAAGTAGTTCCCATCAAGGAAGTGCTGGAGTCAGTTTTTGACTGAAAGAGGTTTATGAGTCTAGTGAGGCTGCGGTGCTAGGACCTGGTTCAGAGACGAGCGAAGCGCAGCCTTATTGTTTGAGGGCAAAGGCAGGTTTTTTGAGGGGAGAAGACACAGTAAACA